GGGCTCAATTTGGGGTCCCCCCCTCCCTTTTAGGGCTCAATTTGGGGTCCCCCTCGGTTTTGGGGCTCAATTTGCCCCCCCCCCTCCCTTTTGGGGCTCAATTTGGGGTCCCCCCTCCCTTTTGGGGCTCGAGTTTGGGGTCCCCTTCAGTTCTGAGGCTGAATTTGGGGTGCCCCCTCCTTTTTGAAACTAAATTTCGGGTGCTCTTCTCATTTTTGGGGCTCAATTTGGGATCCCCCCTCCTTTTCGGGACTCAATTTGGGGTGCCCTTCTCATTTTTGGGGTTGAATTTTGGGGTCACCTCCTTATTTTGGGGTGCTGGGTGTGCCCCCACTAAATTTTGGAGCTGAATTTGGGTTTCCTCCTCGATTTCAGGTTTAAATTTGAATTTTCTCCTCAGTTTCACAGCTAAATTTCAGTTTCTGTTTCAATTTTGGGACTGAATTTGTGTTTTCCTCAATTTTGGGTTTATTCAGTTTCCTCCTCAAGTTTGCGGCTGAGTTTGGGGGCTCTCCTCAATTTTGGGGTTCTCTCCTCAATTTTGGGACTGAATTTCAGGTTCTCCTCAAGTTTGAGACTGAATTTGGGTTTTCCTCCTCAACTTTGGGGCTAAATTTGGGCTCACTCCTCACTTTTGGGGCTGAATTTTGGTTTTCTCCTCAACTTTGGGGCTGAATTTGTGTTTTTCTCCTCAATTTTGGGGATGAATTTGTGTTTTCCTCCTCAATTTTGGGCTGAAATTTGGGGTTTCCTCCTCAATTTTGAAGCTGAATTTTGATTTTCTCCTCGATTTTGGGGCTGAATTTGGGGTGCTGGGTGTCTCCTGCTCAGCCTCAGGGGGGAGGGGAGATCAGGGCGGGTTTTGGGGGGTCCTGGGAGCCCCCCAGATTTGGGGAGGGGTCCCCACCTTGCGCAGGGCGCTGTAGGACTCCTCATCGAAGAACTTCACCTCGTAGGTGCCCGAGTGGGCCTGGCGGTGCTCCAAGCTCCAGGACACCTGGGGGGGAATTTGGGGGGGCTTTGGGACCACCAGGACCCCCCCCAAATTCACCCCGGAGCCCCAGAGCACCCCTAAACTCACCTGAGCCTCCCAAAATCACCTGAGATCCCCCAAAACAACCCCCAAACTCACCTGAGATCCCCCAAATTCACCTGAGGCCCCCTAAACTCACCTGAGCCCCCAAAAACAACCCCCAAACCCTCCCGGCTCCCCAAAATCCCCCC